GGGCATGTACCTTGCTTGCGGGCACATCCCCAGTAGGGGTTGTGCAAGAGGCAGCTGATCCATGTTTCTCTCATCGATGTTTCTAACTATCCCTCTCCCTTCCTCTCTGTAAAAAAGTAAATGAAATATATTTAAAAAAAAAGAAATTAATTTTAAAAATCCTAGATGTTGGTTTTTAAAAAAGGCAAAAAGAAACTCAACACCAAAATCTTGACTGTTTTAGCTGGCATGGGCAAAAATCTAACCATTAAAGGAGAGAGAGAGAAAAAAAAGAAATGATACAATGTATGATATAACATAATGCCACATTAATAGACTGCCCAGTTCAAAGAAAGTAAAAATGAACAGAAGTCAGAAGACGTGAGAAAAACCTATCTTCACTCTGGTTGTTACCTTTTATGAACAACGGAAAAGGGTGACCAAGATGGTTATCTGTATCACATACTGTCATATAATGGAAACTAGAAATATTTAGCTTAGATGTGAAGGTTTGCACTTTCACATGAAGAAAAGAACATATAAGAAAGTAAAGGGTAGATATATTTTCCTTGAGATGAAGAACTTTATAATATTTAGAGTTGTTTAGAGAATGAACTGACAAGTAACATTCTCTTCAAGAGAAATGATGACAATCCATTAGGAATGTATAGATTCAGGAAATCATGTTTCTGGAAGGAATTTGATCTTTCTTATACGACAATAATATATTACTTCTGAGTTTATAGAAATTAGCTCAAAGGAACTTTTAAAAAATTCCATTTAAAATTAACAATATTTTTTTACTAATATTAGAAAAACAAATTAAGATTAAATCATCAAAACATAAAGAAAAACTCTATAAACAGAATACTTCTAAATCTTGGCCAATGGTTCACAGTAACTAAGCTTTTTAGTGATATGACAACAAAATCTAACCCTATGAATAAGAAGCAATAGTGATTTCTTTTACTAATTATCAAAGTGATAAACTTATAATAAAAATATATCATATAATGATCCCAAGAAAAGAATACAAGAGTAGTAAACAGTGATACAATCTACAGACAATTAAGGTTAATAATACCATCCATTTATAGAGTACGTTAAAATTTCTTAAACTACTTTCCACCTATTTGCTATCTGATCTGAAAACAACTCTGAGACAGACAAAACAGTTGGTATTAGTGCCATTTTACAGTCTTCCTAAGGCTCAGAGGGGTAAATGATTTCATAATAAGATCACTCAAGTTGGTCTAGAGCACTGGTTCTCAACCTTCCTAATGCCGCGATCCTTTAATACAGTTCCTCATGTTGTGGTGACCCCCAATTTCATCGTTACAAATTGAACATAATTAAAGCATAGTGATTAATCACAAAAAAAATATGTAATTATGTTTTCCGATGGTCTTAGGAGACCCCTGTGAAAGGATCACGACCCACAGGTTAAGAACCATTGATCTAGAGCAGTGATGGCAAACCTATGACATGCGTGTCAGAGGTGACACACGAACTCATTTTTTTGGTTGATTTTTCTTTGTTAAATGGCATTTAAATATATAACATAAATATCAAAAATATAAACCTTTGTTTTACTATGGTTGCAAATATCAAAAAATTTCTATATGTGACAGAGTACCAGAGTTAAGTTAGGGTTTTTTAGAAACCAAGATGGAGGCATAGGTAATCACCGGAGTTTGCTGCCTCGAACAACCGCTTCAAAAATACAACTAAAAGACGGAACGGACATCATCCAGAACCACAGGAAGGCTGGCTGAGTGAAAATTCTACAACTAGAAGGAAAGAGAAAAGCATACCGAGACTCAGAGGAGGTGCAGTACGGAAGTAAAACACTAAGGTACAGAGGCGCACACGGAGCGGGCTGGCGGCTGAGGGCGCGGTTGTCGATTTCAATCGGGAGGGAGTCTCAAGCTCTGAGCTCCAGTTCTGGGCGAGTCTCTAGGGACCCAGACTCATACGGGAGAAGCGGGACTGTCTGGCAGCGGTCGGAACTCGAGGGCAGCTTTCTCTCCCAGGAGCTTGCAGCGATTACTGGGACACTGAGAAGCAGAGCCTCTGAGGGCAAGACTGAGAGCAGCCATAACTGCTAGCCTCCCCCCTGTTGATCCCTTAGGACCCGCCCCGCCCCAGCCCTGCAGGGAGGCTTTTGCTGGATAGCCTCAGGCAAAGGCTAGATTAGCACCTCACTAGAGATCCAGGAGCCAGGAAACCCAGAGGTCAGAGTGGGACCATCCAGTTTGCAGCTCCGTGGAACCATAAAGGACACCCTCAGGGGGCAGACTCAGTGAGCACCAAAGCCCCACTGAAGCAAGTCTTGCCCCAGAGGGGTGTCTCCAGCACAGAAGTTCTCCCACTGCAGACACAGCTGATTCTCACAGCCAATTGGCCTGGAGGTCAATTCCTCCCAGTGATAACTACAACAATCAAGGCTTAACTACAAGAAGACTGGGCACAAAGCCCACAAGGGGGTGCACCAAGAGTGTCAGCCTCAGGTAATTGAGGAGGCTGAACCACTGGACCCTAGAGGACACTCAGCACAAAAAACCACTTTATCAACACAGGGAAGCATAAAAAATGTGGAGACAAAGAAACAGGACACAAATGACAGAAATGGAGGAAAGCAAACTGCTGGATATAGAGTTCAAAACCACACTTTTAAGGTTTTTCAAGAATTTTCTAGAAACTGCTGATAAACTTAATCAGATCTACAAGAAATCTAATGAGACCCTCGAGGTTGTGATAAAGGACCGACTAGAAATTAAGCATACACTGACTGAAATAAAGAATATGATGCAGAGTTCCAACGGCAGACTAGAGGATTGCAAGAATCAAGTTGACGATTTGAAATACGAAGAAGCGCCACTATGGAAAACAGTATGGAGTTTCCTCAAAAAACTAAAAATGGAACTCCCATTTGACCCTGTGATCCCACTTCTAGGAATATATCCCAAGGAACCAGAAACACCAATCAGAAAGGATATATGCACCCATATGTTCATAGCAGCACAATTCACCATAGCTAGGATCTGGAAACAGCCTAAGTGCCCATCTGTAGATGAATGGATTAGAAAACTGTGGTATATCTACACGATGGAATACTATGCTGCTGTAAAAAAGAAGGAACTCTTACCATTTGCAACGGCATGGATGGAACTGGAGAGCATTATGCTAAGTGAAATAAGCCAGTCAATGAAGGAAAAATACCACATGATCTCACTCATTCATGGATAATAGAGACCATTATAAACTTTTGAACAATAATAGATGCAGAGGCAGAGCAGCCTCAAACAGATTGTCAAACTGCAGCGGGAAGGCTGGGGAGGGTTGGGAGGCAGGAGGGAGAGGGGTAAGAGATCAACTAAAGGACTTGTATGCAAGCGTATAAGCATAACCAATGGACATAAGACACTGGGGGGTGGGGGAGGCCAGGGGATTGTCAAGGGCGGGGGAAAAAAAGGGACACATATGTAATGCCCTTTGTAATACTATAAGCAATAAAAAAAAAGAAAACAAAAAAAAAAAAAAGAAGAAGAAATACGAAGAAGCAAAAAACACCCATCCAGAAAAGCAAAATGAAAAAAGAATCCAAAAATACGAAGATAGTGTAAGGAGCCTCTGGGACAGCTTCAAGTGTACCAACATCCGAATTATAGGTGTGCCAGAAGAAGAGAGAGAGCAAGATATTGAAAACCTATTTGAAGAAATAATGACAGAAAACTTACCCTACCTGGTGAAGGAAATAGACTTACAAGTCCAGGAAGCCCAGAGAACCCCAAACAAAAGGAATCCAAAGAGGACCACACCAAGACACATCATAATTAAAATGCCAAGAGCAAAAGACAAAGAGAGAATCTTAAAAGCAGCAAGAGAAAGAAACTCAGTTACCTACAACGGAGTACCCATACGACTGTCAGCTGATTTCTCAACAGAAACTTTGCAGGCCAGAAGGGGGTGGCAAGAAATATTCAAAGTGATGAATACCAAGAACCTACAACAACCAAGATTACTTTATCCAGCAAAGCTATCATTCAGAATTGAAGGTCAGATAAAGAGCTTCACAGATAAGGAAAAGCTAAAGGAGTTCATCACCACCAAACCAGGATTATATGAAATGCTGAAAGGTATCCTTTAAGAAGAGGAAGAGGAAGAAAAGGTAAAGATACAAATTATGAACAACAAATACACATCTATCAACAAGTGAATCTGAAAATCAAGTGAATAATCTGATGAACAGAATGAACTGGTTATTATAATAGAATCAGGGGCATAGAAAGGCTATTCTTGGGGGGGGTAAGGGGTGAGGGGGATGCGGGAAGAGACTGTACAAAAATCGTGCACCTATGGATGAGGACAGTGAGTGGGTGGGAAGTGAGGGAGGAGGGTGGGGTGGGAACTGGGTGGAGTGGAGTTATGGGGGGAAAAAAGAGGAACAAATGTAATAATCTGAACAATAAAGATTTAATTAATAATAATAAAAAAAAAAGTTAGGGTTTTTCAAAATGCTGATATGCCGAGCTCAAAAGGTTCGCCATCACTGGTCTAGAGAATGAATTTGAAACATCTGCCTATTGGTCAGCATTCATTCTTTCTTTAATAATTTTGTTTTCTCTTTAATGAAATAATACAGTTTCATTGGCAAATGTAAGAATACAGATAGATCATCTCCCTAAGCAATGTATTAATAATATTGAGAAATTTTACCTTTCCTTTGAAATAAAAACCAATGTGAGTATAAGAAAAAATTCAAGCAAAAGAAATATATATTTTCTACTTCCAATAATACTATGCTGGAAAAAATCCCCAGAAGATTAAGCAATCAGTTAAGTAAAATAAATGTTTTCTTAAACAGCCACTAAATATTTTGTATGTTAATACTCTTAAAATAACACCAAATGTTAATACTCTTAAGTGGGCTCTAGCAATGTTAGATTTCTCATTTTTACACGTTTGAAAATAAACTTAACTTTAATTTTAATGATGTAAGAACAAGGTAAAACCATTACCTTGGGTGTGCTTCCTTTAATGAATTTTTTAATTGAAGACAACAAGCCGGTTTCATTCTTCGGTGGTTTTTCTCCTCCTGTAGGTAGGCTATCATCAACTTCTGAATATTTCCTCTTTGCTCTGGCAGTGCGCTGTGTTTGGATTGGATTGGATTGCTGAGAAGCTTTCCGTGTTCTCAGCCTCATCTTTTATGGGTGCCACATGTAAAACTGTAAAAGAGAAATAACAAGAGTTATTAGAAACTTAATCTAGCATCCCCATAGTTTTCCAGCTTATATAATAAAAACCTCTTGGTTAAAAAAAGTCCAGGTTTCTAAGGGATTGAAATAAGAAATTAACATTTTATGTGATTGAACTTTATGGTATACACTAGAGGCCTGGTGCACAAAAATTTGTGCACACGAGGTGGGGGGGGGGGCCCTACAGCCCGGCCTGTGCCCTCTCGCAGTCTGGGACCCCTCCGGAGATAACCATCTGCTGGCTTAGGACTGCTCCCGGGTGGCAGAGGGCAGGCCTAATCCCTAGGTGCAGCCCCTGGTCGGGCTCAGAGCAGGGCCGATTGGGGAGCTGGAGCGCCGCCCCCTGTCATGCACAGAGCAGGGTGGATTGGGAGGTTGTGATGCCACCCTCAGTCATGCTCAGGGTAGGGCCAATTGGGGGGTTGGGGCACCACCCCGTCACACACAGAGTAGGGCCAATCAGGGGGTTGGGGCACCAACCCTGTCACACACAGAGCAGGGCTGCTCAGGGGGTTGGGGCGCCACCCTCTATCACCCACAGAGCAGGGCTGATCAGGGGGTTGGGGCGCCACCACTCTCACACTCAGGGCAGGGCCGATGGGGAGGTTATGGCTCTACCCCGTCACACACAGAGCAGGGCCCGTGGGGGTTGGGGGGTGGGGTTGGGGCGCCGCACCCTGTCACACACAGAGCCGCAGAGCGATTAGGGGGTTGGGGAGCTCTCCCCTGTCAGGCACAGAGCAGGGCTGATCAGGGGGTTGGGGCGCCTTCCCCTGTCACGAACAGAGCAGGGTGGATAGGGAGGTTGTGGCCCCGCCCCCTGTCACACACAGAGCCGCAGGGCGATCAGGGGGTTTGGGCGCTGCCCCCTGTCATGCTGATCCCGGTGCCGGGAGACCTCACGGCTCCCGCTGATCCTGGTGCTGGGAGGCATATTACCCTTTTACTATATAGAATAGAGGCCTGGTGCATGGGTGGGGGCTGGCTGGTTTGCCCTGAAGGGTGTCCTGGATCAGGGTGGGGGTCCCCACTGGGATGCCTGGCCAGCCTGGATGAGGGGATGATGGCTGTTTGCAGCAGGTCACACACCCTTCAGGGTGGGGATCCCCACTGGGGTGCCTGGCCAGTCTGGGTGAGGGGCTGAGGGCTGTTTTCAGGCTGACGGGTGACTGAAGCTCCCAACTACTCCTTTTTTTCTTTTTTTTTTATACTGGGCCAGCTTTAGCTCTGGCTCCAGCTCTGAGGCCTCTGCTGCTGAAAGAAGGTATCTGGTTTGTTTAGGTTCTATAATCGAAACAATGTATAACTCCAGCTCTGAGATCCCAGCTCGCTGAAAGCTGGTTTCTGGGGTTTTGTTTAGCTTCTATATTTGTTACAATGTTTCTTAAACTGCAGGCTCAGAGGCCAGCAAGGCAGGCAGAGAACGTTGGAGTCCTCCATCACTGAAGCAAGCAAGCCTCATGTTAGTTTCAAGCTGCCTGGCTGCCGGCCGCCATCTTGGCCGGCAGTTAATTTGCATATCTCACTGATTAGCCAATGGGAAGGGTAGCGGTCGTATGCCAATTACCATGTTTCTCTTTTATTAGATAGGATCATCCCAAGTAACCTTCCAATCTTTTGAAATTATACCCTGTGATTGCATACCAGTGTGCATGCTCTCTACAGCACTATGTTGCCTCCATCCATGCCCACATTATCATTCATTTAACCATTCACTTATTCATTCACTAAGTTTTTCCTGAGCACCTACCACATTTGAGGCACTGGGCTAGGAAATTACCTAGTAAACAATAAACAAGATAGGGAAAATTTTGCCCTCTAGAACTCAAACTGTAGTGGGAAAAAACCCTTCGTCAATAAATGAATTCCATTAGCACATTCTAATAATCAGCAATCATACAAGTGTAACAAGAAGTTAAATCATTTTGCAGGATTTGATCTTACCTTACTTAATGATACTTTAAAAACTGAATTCCCACAAGGAAGAACATATGAACCAATCTACTTGACTTCTCTCATTTTATCGATGAGAAAACAGGTGGCAAAACTGTCCCAAGACTTACACTTATCTTACCACTCTGAGACTCAAAATGAAAAAGAAATTAGAAAACAATATAAAGTGTGGAGAACAATAAAATTACTTACAACAGTGAATGCATTTGTAGAAATTCTAAGCACTCTAAAGGTGTAGAAATTCCTGGCAATAGTTACGGTCTTCACTGACCAATTAGGAAGCTTAAGAAATTGTGTCTTTACTAATTCAACATAATGGTCACAAGAAAAAAAGTTAGAACCCTTTAAAATATATAAAAACTTTATACTACTATAGTATGCTATGCTATACTATACCTACTTTAAGAATAACAACAAAAAAACCATATCCCCTAAATTCAAGGGATTCACCAGAAGTTCCACAATATCTTTTGAAATAATTTTTTTTCCATCACCAAATGATACTCAGTTTTTTCCTTTTATTTTTTTAATCCTCATCCGAGGATATGTCTTGACTGATTTTTTAGAGTGACAGAGAGAGAGAGAGAGAGAGAGAGAGAGAGAGAGAGAGAGAGAGAGAGAGAGAGAGAGAGAAAACATCAATTGGCTGCCTCCAGTACACGCCCCTCCTGGGGGTAAAACCCACAGTGCCCTGACCAAGAATCGAACCCTCAAACCTTTTGGCACATGGGACAACATTCCAATCAACTGAGCCACGCGGCCAGAGGCAAATGGTGCTCAGTTAAGTTGCTATCCCCAAATGAAATAAATATGGCCTTTTCTCCTAAAGAGTCAATGTTGACTTCTAAAGGGAGTTATCATTCAAGGCATGTATTATTTACTTAACTCTATTTACATTGCATAAATTTGTCTTAATTCCTTTGGTCTTCAGCTCAGCACTTCTTAGAAAAGGAAAATTCCCATGCCATAAATGCATAAAAGAATTTTTTTAAAAGAGTTATTTTTAATCAATTTCTATAGATATATTTTAAAAGATTTTAGTCTTGAAACTTACCAAGACTTGTTTTACGGCTCACCACATGGCCTATCTTGGTGTGCCTTGCATGTGAGATTAAAAAGTAGTGTTTTCTTCATCTGTGTGTGAGCAGTCAGTTTTGAAATTCCATGAGGGCTTGACTGCTCTAGCCCTTTCAGACTTAAAAGCACACCTTTCACAACTCACCATCAGAACGGACAAAATCCCTCCACATTTCATAACTTTCTTGTTTAAATGTTGTCTTGCTTTCCAGCAAATACCCACTGGTTATTTTTTAATTCAGAGGACTTTTTCTCCTAACCTTTTCCAGAACCTTCATTCTCTCCATGCAGAATTGTCTAGCATTTTATATATACACTAGAGGCCTGGTGCACAAAAATTTGTGCACTCGAGGGGGAGGGGGGTCCCTCAGCCCGGCCTGCGCCATCTCGAAGTCTGGGACCCCTCAGGAGATAACGACCTGCTGGCTTAGGCCTGCTCCCGGGTGGCAGAGGGCAGGCCCAATCCCTAGGTGCAGCCCCTGGTCGGGCTCAGAGCAGGGCCGATTGGAGAGTTGGGGCGCCGCCCCCTGTCATACACAGAGCAGGGCGATCAGGAGGTTGTGATTCCACCCTCAGTCACGCTCAGGGTAGGGCCGATTGGGGGGTTGGGGCACCATTCCGTCACACTCAAGGCAGGGTCGATGGGGAGGTTGCGGCGCCACCCTGTCATGCGAGAGCAGGGCCAATCAGGGGGTTGGGGCATTTCCCTGTCACACACAGAGCAGGGCCCATCAGGGGGTTGGGGCACTGCCCTCTATCACCCACAGAGCAGGGCCGATCAGGGGGTTGGGTGCCGCCACTCTCACACTCAGGGCAGGGCTGATGGGGAGGTTATGGTCCTACCCCGTCACACACAGAGCAGGGCCCGTGGGGGGGGGGGGGGCGCGGGCGGTTGGGGCGCAATACCCTGTCACACACAGAGCCGCAGGGCGATCAGGGGGTTTGGGTGCTGCCCCCGTCACGCTGATCCCGTTGCCGGGAGGCCTCGCGGGGCTCCGCTGATCCCGGTGCTGGGAGGCATATTACCCTTTTACTATATAGAATAGAGGCCTGGTGCATGGGTGGGTGCCGGCTGGTTTGCCCTGAAGGGTGTCCTGGATCGGGGGGGTGGGGGGTCCCCACTGGGGTGCCTGGCCAGCCTGGGTGAGGGGATGATGGCTGTTTGCAGCTGCTCACAAACCCTTCAGGGTGGGGATCCCCACTGGGGTGCCTGGCTAGTCTGGGTGAGGGTCTGAGGGCTGTTTTCAGGCTGGGGGTGACTGAAGCTCCCAACCGCTCCTTTTTTTCTTTTTTCTTTTTTTATTCTGGGCCAGCTTTAGCTTTGAGGCTTGGCTCCAGCTCTTAGGCCTCCGCTGCTGAAAGTAGAGTTCTGGCCTTTGCTTACAATGTTGCGATCCTGCTGGCTGTAGCCCGGCAGGTTTCTGGGGTTTTGTTTAGCTTCTATGTTTGTTACATAGTTGCTTGCAGCTCAGAGGCCTGCAGCGGCAGGCGGGGAACTTGGAGTCCTCCGTCACTGAAGCAAGCAAGCCTCATGTTAGTTTCAAGCTGCCTGGCTGCCGGCCGCCATCTTGGCTGGCAGTTAATTTGCATATTGCCCTGATTAGCCAATGGGAAGGGTAGCGGTCGTACACCAATTACCATGTGTATCTTTTATTAGATAGGACTAGAGGCCCAGTGCACAAAAATTTGTGCACTCAGGGTCAAGGGGGGGGGGTGTCCCTCAGCCCGGTCTGTGCCCTCTCGCAGTCTGGGACCCCTCTGGGGTGACCACCTGCTGGCTTAGGCCCGATCCCCAGGGGATTGGGTCTAAGATGGCAATCAGACATCCCTCTCGCAGCCCGGCAACCCTCGGGGGATGTCCACTTGCCAGTGGGGAGCAGGCCTAAACTGCAGTCGAACATCCTTAGTGCTGCTGAGAAGGCAGGAGAGGCTCCCACCAC